TCTCAACAATTAAAAGACCTGTCATTTGAAGCCTTAGTAATCTAAAACTGTCACATTGCAGCGTGTGTTCCCATATCCAAAACCACACTTCTATCCTTATTACTCTTAAAATTATCAAATTAAAGCGATTTCATTCTCACTGTTTAAGAGAAAAATTGGGAAGCAACAAATGCAAGACCAGACTACAGAACGTGTACTATTTCAACAGCCTTGTATACGCCCAGTCTGTCCTTGCTCTCAGGAGACAGCATTAGAGTGGTTATTTATATCTTCAATATCACATGTGAATTCCCAGTAGTTATAACCAAAGGACATTATAGTTACTATCTGGTCTTTACGCTAAACAGCAAAAGCATCCTTTAAGTCTCTAAGCCTAGTTGGCATATGAAGTCTCTGCTGTTGAAGCTTCTTCTTAAGCTTCCTGGTTTCCATCTCCTGCTAAAGGTAAGGAGAATTTGGGATGGGGTGATGGAGAGATCAGATACACAGAGCTGTGACAACACCTCAGCTACAGAAAGTTGCTCCTGTCCCCACAAGTGTCCAGCACTTCCCCATGTGTGGACCAAAAGGAGGTGGCCTGATTCACAAGTCATACCATAACATCACAACAGTGTTTACCTCAAGGTCTTGTTGCTTTAAAACAAACACATCAAAACCCCATCATACAAGATGCAAACTTTTTCAAATATATAGAAAAAAAGATAGAAAGGTCGCTTTAGTAAGAATTTAAGCTGTAGGTGTAGCTGCATTAAACCAAAACAAATTTGATGTATATGTGGCAACAGAAATCGGAATCTCAGAAAACAAGCAAACCAAAGCCACATCATAGCTAAATGTTATAATACTTGCCTAAAAATATAGCCACGCTGCTCTACACAATGAAGTTCAGGACACCAGTATGTATATTTTAAACACAGAACAGAAAGACTGCTGCCTCCAAACTTAGTCACTAGACTTTCCCTCCTCTTACTGTAACACAAATTCATCTATTTTCTCTTTTCTATGGGTCTGTCATGTGGCAGTGGTACCTGACTTGTACCAAGCAGTACTTTCAAAGAGATCGAACTTGCTAGACCAAACTGGGCATTGCTTATAGGAAAGATAAGAATAGCATTTCTGTGCAGAAGTGCTACAGAACTAATATTTTAACCACATATGAGCCTCTAATTCCAATTTTCTTGGACAATGACTTAAAGAACAGGTGCAGCCCCAGCATTAAGACAAAACCCAACTATCTAAAAACCTTAAAGACAGTGCAGCTCAAGCCAGTGAAACATAAATTTGCTTATGGCAGTATGGGAAGAAGACCTTTGTGATGCAGAAACAGATGTCACTGCACATTTTTCAGAATACGGCTCTATGCACTGCTTTGTATGCATGGCTTCCTTGGATGTATTTAAATTTTATTTCGTAAACACAGTCTATTAACTTCTTTATTCCAACTATATCAAAGTAAAGTAGGAACAGCATAGTCTTTATTTAAAGTTTCTACTTACATGAACACTTACTGTAACCAATCACCCTAAGAAGGCTAGCCAAAACAAAAAAAACCTGTGTTTCATTATATTCAAAAGCCTCAATTACAGAAAGCCTGACACAGCCAAGATATAATTATGGTCAAGAGCAGACAGATATACATAAAAAGTGAGAAGTGCAGTTAGAGCATTCAGTGTGTCAAACACAGTGAATGTGATACCAGCTGCACAGTACTTTAATATAATTAAACTGCACTTCTTATATAATGTGAGTTAAATGACGGGCATGAGTGAAGTTAACTATCTGCTTTCTGGTACAGGAATTCAAGCATTGAAAGGTTATTTTAAAAGCTTTTTAAAAAAGGACAGCCCAAGTCGCATGTCAGCAGTGCCAAAAATTCTACTTGTCTCTCATGGGGGAGCATCCCCTTTCACTTCAGCATTATGACATTACGTGTGCACAAACTGAGCACCTATCATTTATTATATACATCACTTTTGTTTTATAGCAAAAATCCAGTAGGTTTGAAAATGAGACCTAATTCTCTTGTTTAGACAGAGGCAAACTTAAGCAAAAAACAAGAAAATGCTTTACCCTGTGATATACCCACTGCCCTTTCCCTGTCTTCTCTACAGTCTTCTCTTTGTGGCAGTAAAATCCTGCTGAGTTTAATTAATGCACAGAGTTCACATCCTTTATTTTCATTTTAATTACAAGATAAATAAGAAAAGAATAAATACATATTTGTGATGAGGGATATTAGTTACTTTGAACTGGTTAACTTTAGTAACCAGGAGTAGCGTAGCCCTGATGTTGTGGGAATTCTTATTACTGTAGCTTTTTGCCCAATTTCTGCAAAAATATTTTGGAGTCAAGTCCAAGGTTTATTCTGCTATAAATGTTCACTTGTATGAGCTGGTGACTGGTCTGGAAGCATGGCCTAGAAGAGCAGAGCCTACCTAACAGCCTTGGATTCCCCTCCGCTCCCAAGTGGATTACCTGTCTGTTTGGAGCAATGGTGGGGTGACATTTTGTGGCCATAAGCTGTGACAGCAGTCTTTGAGGAACAAGAAAGCCAGCTTCATTGTAGCTTGGATAATCAGAGCTGTGAAGCCACAGCACTTGGACTAGGTTTACTGCCAAAGGGACACATCCCACTTTTTCCGTCATGAGCAAGCACTGAGGTCTGTGCAGCTGCAGCTATGTTGGTAATGGTATCAAAGCTATAGCTCATTTAAACTTGACTTTTACATATTATATATACCTATAACTCAAAAATGTCACCTGAACTAATAGAAGAGTGCAAAGGCTCCCAATTACAGGAATGTCAAGCCATTAGTTTTATCGTCGATGATATTCTAAGATGTAAACAAAAGTCCAAATATTGCCACAAATCAATCACAGAATCTTCTAGGTTGGAAGGGACCTTAAAGATCATCTTGTCCAACCGTCAACCTAACTTTGACAAAAATAAACACCCACACAACAAACAAAAAGCAACACCATCACTAAACCATACCTCCCAGCACTACATCAACCCGTCTTTTGAACACCTCCAGGGATGGTGCCTCAACCACTTCGCTGGGCAGCCCATTCTAATGTCTGATAACCCTTTTGGTGAAAATTTTTTTCCTAATATCCAGCCTGAACCTCTCCTGGCGTAACTTGAGGCCATTTCCTCTTGTCCTGTCACCTGTGACTTGGGAGAAGAGACTGGCCCCCACCTCTCTACAATCTCCTTTCAGGGAGTTGTAGAGAGCGAGGTGGTCTCCCCTCAGCCTCCGCTTCTCCAGGCTGAATAACCCCAGCTCCCTCACGTGGATGGCCAAGGGTCATTCACACATGCTGCAGTCTACCTTGATGTAAATCTTACAGCTTATTTGATTTTTTCTTATCTACACCCAGTTTTAAAACTAAAAAAAAAACTAAAAAAGGCTAAGTATATGTAAACCAGAGATGGGATTGACATTTTCCAGCAACAGTTATGAAAAGCTCTTAGAAGTTTGCAAAACCTTATCAAATAATATTCATTCTCTAGAATAGATCTTGTCCTGTATAAGAGGCAGTAGAGAGGCCTGCAACAAGGAGTGGAGTAGTACAGGGATAGCTCTATGAATCAATTCCACTCTTTTCTCTTACAGATAGGATATTCTTCGCCACCATCAGTCACAATAGAAAATGGAAGGGAAAAAGTTGAACTCCTTTCACTCAGTTCCTGTGTCTGTCCACAGGTGACAACTCTATTGAATAAACAGCAGATCACATTTTAAGCCCCTGTAGTCTAAACCATAACCAAAAATTAAAACATATGCATTATGGAAATGCACATAGACACCCCTTAACAACTATTCTTAAATAGAAAAAAAAAACCTTAGTCAATGAACTGAAAGAAATCTAGATTCTAAATCTAAAATATTCCATGCCTTTCCATTAAAGAGTACAGTGAGGAGACAGGTCCAACCTGTTTGCTCACAATGGAGCAATATTTAAACAAATATAGCGACTATTTTCTACCTGAAAAAAAATTAGAAATCCTCTAAACATAACTTGACTTATGTAAGCATCTCAAAGACAGTCCCAAGTTGTAAGTTATGCCTTCAATTTCCTGTGAATACATATGCCGTCATGACATGAGCTTGCATGGTCTTTAATTATACTGAGTGCCAATTACAGATATGTAAAGCACAATTCAGCTAATTAAATATAAGTGTCAAGGACCATTTTTGATGCCCAAGAAAAAACTACCAGCTGGACTCCAGCTGCCACAAAAGGAAAACACAGATCTGCCACAGGTCCTATGATAACTTCTAGTTCTGTAAGGCTGTCTTAGATCACCTGGAGCACATAAAATGGCATTCAAGGTCTATATTTGTCAGTTAAATCACACAAATAGTCCCATTGACCTCCATATATCATCTTCAAATAACTGTTTCTCAGCCTAAAAAGCTGGCAGTGTAACCAAAAATGTACAACACTGGAACCCAAAATTCACCTTTAGCAATGACACAGAGGATCTTGGGCCTTTACAAATCAATAACAGAGCAGCCACAGGAGAGCTGCGGGTATCACCATGCAAGAGATTAAAATAAAATATGATTGTCTCTCTCAAACGTCAGGTTAGAGGCTCTATTATCATTCTGGTTTGGGCATATAAGAAAAATATTATCAGAAACATATTTTTGAAAAATTATTCACAGTGGTGTTATCTCAGTTTACTCCATATGTTCTCTGCCATGAAAAAAAGCACACATAGTCATCTTTTATTTGCCAGGAATACATGCACTGATTCATGTAACCAATTAAACAACAGGAAAGGGTCCATCTTAAGTGCATTGTTCTATTGCATTATTCTCTAATATAACAACAACAAATAAATTACATTTTAGGTATAAGATCAGAGCAAAACCAATTCTACATAGACCTGCTTCCCCGAGTTCAAACTTGCTAATGGGAGCCAAAGAACACCATGGTAAGAAACATAATCCTCAGTAAGATTCAGGCAAGAAAGGAAGCAAAGCACTTACCGTGTCTTGACATTTATCTTTGACATCATAGACGGTCAGTTTTATTTTGGTCTCCTCATAGATGGGGTATTCCGGTGGGAATGTCACACCAGTTAAAAACAGTGGATCTCTTGTACCCTGTGTAACGTGAGTAAACATTCAGTAAGGCAACAGCTGTGCAACGTCTAGTATGCCATTATGGATGTACAGAAACTGTGGGCTCTTTAAAAGGAGTTGGCTTTCTACAGCAGAGAGATGTCAACAGCTAAGTACTATCCAATCAATAAGAAAACTGGACAACTTTAAAACTTTTCCAGGAAAGTTTCAAAAAACCTTATGGATTTTTTTTTTAGCTGGAAAATATATTAAGTGCTTCTGAAGCAGAGCTGAGCAACATGCCTTTAAACAGCTCAGCCAGCAGGTATCAGTATCTGGAAATCTGGAATACAACCTGTAATAAACAATCCCTTTCTTTCTCCCATGATACCTTCTGGAAGTACCACAATTTTGTATTAATTTAAATGAACCAAATATATAACTTACACACACAAAAAAAAAAATCTTAAGTCACAATAAAATGTCTACAGAAATGCCTAGAAACTCCCTGTATTACACTAAGGGTACTGACTTGGGGTGGTGGAAGGGCTGGGGGTAGAGAAGGGAGGAATTGCAATACTTCTTTTTAGGCAGTAGTGCAGCAAGACAATTTTCCTGTGCTTTGGAACATTATGATTATATCTAGAAGCTGTACACATAAGTAACTATACCATAGCTTCAGATTTGCAAACAATTAAATGAATCATATAAAATGTTGTTTATAATTTCTTAATGTTTAATTATACTTAATTTCCAAAGATTACCAGGCTAGCATCCTTAAATTTACTATTAAGCAAAATGAGGGATTTTGCATGATAAACATAATTTTTCTTGAAGAAAATAACTTTTCTGTGCCCCTGCCTTCCCCTCCCCCTCCTCCAAAGCTTGACTATGAGGCTGGGTGTCCTGACACAAGAAATTCAGTGATTTATTCAGATCTAGGACATTGTGTTAAGAAATGCAACATCTATTACAAAAAATAAAATCTATTCCATCTTCTGCACAACATCATTCCAGACAGGCTGCAATGAAACATCCTGATCAGATACAAGATACTTGAATTAAGCAGTTTCAGGATGGTTGATGGCTGAAACTATAATAAATAGTAGTTGGTTGAAACTGATCACACAAAGAGCTCATGAAATATTCTTGCATTTAACAGTTAAAACAAGCCTTTGACAAAACTGTGTGTGTGTTTACAATAAAAATTCCCTGTTCTTAATGAGTGTCTCCAGTAATTTAAGCAAGTTACACCTACTTTGCCTGCTCACTCTTAATTTTCTCTGTTTCTGACACTGATGCTTACAGGGCAAAGGGAAAACTAGCAAAGCAGCCTCAGACAACTTTTGCTGTAATATGTGATGCAAGTTACTATTTTATACAAAGTCACAGACATTACGTACACACACTCTTTTCCCTAATTATAGAAGTAGACTAATATTTTAGAAATTGCAAAAGCATCAGCTTTCCAATGGAAATTAAAAAAAAAGAGAACACAAAACAGACAGGATAACAGATCACATAAAACACTTCTGTTCTTCTGTAATGTAAAAACACTTCTCAAAACTCACTGTACTCTTAATTTAATTTTACTTTGCACTGCCTTGTCCTTTCATGAGAGCAAATATTCCCTGTTTCATTCTAGACCCATGTCTGGAGAACTGGAGTATTCTCTATGCCTCTACTTGGAACAACGAAGCTTTCATGAAAAGCCAAGTTCATTTTTAACTGTTTATCCTGGTTAAATGCCAAGAACTACAGAACAGTCTTAGGTATGCTTTACTAACTGCCAGAGTGTGCTTCTCCTACCCAAGACTATGCACTAACTTGTTTTATTTCTCATTCGCCTTCTATAGAAGAAACGAGCAATTCATTAATCAACATGTTAATTGAATAAGAAAGACTCTCACCTCCACGATTTCAGTGCTTGAATACCTCGTCAAAATGTGCTCTGCTGGATGGACCACTGAGACTTGTACAAACGTATTCAGCTTCCGATCACGGGTAGCAGCCACTAGATCCTTGCATGCTGGAGACAGTACAAAATAAAAATAAAATACTCAAAAGAAAACTCTGGGAAAAACTCTGTCACGGGCACAGGACAAAGCAGACTGGCTCCGGCTTCAGATTAAATCTCTAGAGACAAGCCGATTTTACAGAGGAAGTCCCTTGGAAGTAACTTACAGAAATAGGAAGTCACATGCTACAGAACTCGAACTGAGATTTCGTTTCCACTAAAAATACTTGCAGCTTCTGCAAAGCTCCCTGCCAGGGGCTCATCAGCTCCGGTATAGGAATGTGCGTGCGCATACGCACACACTTACAAACACTGCAATAGTAGGTAATTTTACATAAGCACTCATTTAATTTGCCACAAAATCTCTTAGCAGCCTAATGCAATCGTGTCTTGTCTGACAATTTTCTCAGCACACGACCATTTTAAACACACTGCCAACCAGTTAAATGCTATCAGTGATTAGGTTAGTTTATACAGTCTGATACTAAATTATGAACTTTTTAATAGAATTATTCATTGAGTAAAAACTCAGATACCTAAAAGCAGACAACAAAATAACCACTTCTTTTGCCAGTGACTGGCATATAAATGAGAAGAATAATTGTAGTCTGGCTATACAACATCATTATTAAAACTCATTCTGCCTCATATAGAGAAATTCAGTTCTTATTGAATAATTCATTTTTATCCTGGGTTCACAGTCGAGCAATTGACTGAGTTCACTCTTTGGACTGGCACACCTCATGCTGCCTTATAAAGGGATGAAAGCACTAAAGAAAAAAAAGAAAAGGAGGGGGAAAGAAACAAATGGACCATTAGTCGCTCTGCAGAAGGTATGCAGACTAATGGGGCATGCATTGGCTCAAAAGAAAAAGGCAACCACCTCACATTCTTCAGTAAGGAATATGCAACGGTAAATACTGTGACAAGATCTACCCAGTGCTTCCTGCAGCGCATCAAACTGCACTGGAATCTTAGAAGCCTGAGGGAAGAAAAGAGAAGCCTACAGTTTTGGAGAGGCTAATTGTCAAGAAAGAGCAGAGGACATTTTCTAGGAGTCACTGCCAACTGGGGGCTTCCTCAAGCGCAGCTGACCTTTAGCATTTTAAAAGGTGAGTCAGATTATCCTCACAGCAAGCAAACCTGGTCTGATAAGAAGCCAAGGGAAGCAAAGCTCCGATACATACAAAAGCCCAACTCAGCTTGGTTTATACTTTTTTTTTTTTCCTTTGGGTTTGGACCTGCTGCTTGAGGAAATTAATGGAAAACCGCCTGAAGCTTTTTTAACGCTCTTCCGTAACAGTTAAAAGAGAACAAGGAAACAAATCTAACCTTCTCAGAATATTTTGAAGTTTCTGGGTTATCCTGAATTGCCAATGAAATCTCTTGGTAGAAAGCCTCAAACTGACCCTTTCAGAATTTGGCAGTACAAGCTGGATAAGAATAGAAGTTTGTGCATGATGAAGTCTTCCTCAATCAGCTGATATAACTGCATCAGACTCAAATAGTAAGTTGCCAACAATTCCTTGCTACTAAGGCTCACCATATTATTGAAATGACTCTCAATGTTAGCACTTCTTGATATGATCTGAAGAATCGTATGAGTAGATTTATTGAAAAGCAGTTATCAAAGCACAAAATAGGTTGGGCAGATACTTAACTATTTGAACTAGATCCTCTCTGAAACTGACCACAGACACAGTATCAAATCACTGAAATTTCCAGGTACAGCCATTTCCTCCCATAAACCCAATCTTACACCACCACCCAATCCTTAAACGTTCCACCCTACAACCATGTTTTTAGAATATAGCACAGCAAAGCACAGTTTCAGGGAAATGGTGATAGAGCTCATGTTTACTACCAGAAGCTGGAACACTGACATAAAGTGAAATTTTTCACACCCACCACAAAGGAAGGCTAGCCAGCTCAACGGACCTCCAAAGATGATAAGAATACATCAGAAGGGAAAAAGAGAAAGAGAGAGGAACTTAGAAAAAACAAAAATAAATCCCCCCATAAACTCCAGTGACTCTGGCAGGAACCCTACAGCTGAACTCTTGTAAAAAGTACTAGTGCATGATACATGGAGGTAAATCCCCCATAAATAACAGTTTGATTTGCTTGCAGGATGTCTCAAATACATTAACTAGATGTGGCTAATTCTTTTAGCAGCCAATGGCAGAGGCTTTTATCCTTTATAAACCTTTAAGAATAGGAAGAAGATTTGCACTGAGTGGTCACCACCTTGGTAATACCTGAGCACAAGAGACAATTTCTGTGATAGTAGTCATTAGATCCTTTTCCTGTAAAAAGGCAGCTTAGCAACATGATCTTGAATTGTAGAGTTGATATAAAGAAAATTCATCTGCATATCTCCAACGCAAGGATCAGCACAAAGTATCAAAACTCTTTGGGAGATACCAGTGCAGAAGGATAAGTGCAACAGAATGACACCTGCATCTACTTTAATGTCAGAGTCTCTATTGTGACATTGGGCTACTTGATTCACCACTACCCTTTAAGTCAGAAAGAATATTCAATAAGGTTGTCGCTGGCAGAAAACTGAAGATTTGGTGTGACACAGAATTTGTCAGCTTGAGACACAGTGCATCACTTCCCTAAAAAAACAGCCCAACTGAAATGTTTAACCTAAGGACTACTCTTAAGCTGATGCCAAAGAACAGGATAAGTTTGTTATATGCTGTTCACAGCCCAGCAAGTGCCACAGCCCCACACTGCATTATTGCCCTTTGAACCATTTTACTAACAGCATCTCTGAAAACCTTCGGTCTTCTCAAAGAAACAGTCAGCACTCTTTGGACAAAGTGAAACATTACAGGGCCGTAAAAGTGAAATACCAACTCTATCTTATATATTGAAATACACCTGTTGGGTATTATTGACACACCACTCATAAAGAAACTGATGAAAATACAAAGATGAAAAGCATATTAAGGCTGTTTTCTTAACACAGTGAAAGCAGGTAATGACATCCATACACTTTCCATCATAACCTCCACCCAAGCAGACCATACACATGGCTCACATTTCTTCTAAGTACTTACTATGCTTGAATTAATTCTGGAAAAACTCATCAACACAACAGAGTGAACTGAGGTGACAGTTTGTACTTATTTGCCAAAAGTATATGAATCTACTCATTGTGACTGTTGACTCAGGGTGTAAAAGCCTGAGTCATCCATTCCCCTGGTGATCCCATCTCTGCTAAGCCTATCAGCGTACAGCAAATGTTTAAGGAAGAACGGCATTAGGAATAATTTATGCTTTTATATCAACAAAGAAAGAAGTTAAGATGGCAGGAAGAAGCAACTCCTGCATATTAAGCAAAGAAAAAGAAGGAAAGAAAGACAGCAAAGTAATTATATGTGTAGAGCAAGATGAAAGTTTGCAAGGAAAAAGAACAGCTCTAGAATATATTTACAAACATTTATGTGTTTTGCAAAGTTCTGCGGTCTACATATAAAAGTGTCTTACCATTTAAATGCCCTAAAACAGATAACATTTAATCCATCATTACTACTGTTGTTCTACTACTAAAACTGTAATATAATTCCTACATCAATCACAGTAAACAAATGCTCCTTCTCGATCAGTCATGCCTGTACATTGTCCTGTACATTCCAGTACCCCTACGACGTGTGCTATGAATGCAAACTGCACAAGTAGGTGCTTGATTCTCAAGTTCTGCCACATTCAACATTTCCCTGTGCTGCACTAACACGCTGGGTGCACTCCCCATCCTTCCGCGTGCATGCGTGCACACGTAAAGACAACCGAAGACAAAGCCGGGTCACTGTTTCCCCAAAACAGAAGAAAACTACGCTATAAACACAGTAGAATCTTGCTTCACTGTTTCACTGACTCATGGGATCAGGGAGAATTTTCTGAGAACGTTAGCTATATGGAAGAACTGCGCATGGAGAGAAAGACTAAAAAAAAAATTTCAATGACTATAAAACAATTAGAAGAGGGAAAACAAACAAAACAACCAAAACAGAAATAGTCTGGAAATTATCTACCTTCCCTGAAACTATAACAATTCCGACCCGGTGTTCATCACTGCTTTGAGCACTAAGCTCACTGGGGCCAAAATAAACTTATCTGGCAGAAAAATGGGAAGATGCAGCATCTCCCAGAACTGAAAGAGATCCAGTAGCTAGAACAGGCTACATGGGCAGAGGGATTGAAAGACATCCTGAGCTCAGAGTTCACAGATTTGTTTGGGAAGGAAGCCAAGATCTAGCCCAAAAATTGGGAAATGGCATTGAAATTGCAATGTGTACTTTTGTTAGTGGGATGACAAATGACAGCACATCGGTGAATGTCCTCCCAGACTATGGATTCACACTATGTGTGCATTCGCCTACATGGCAATTTGTGAGGTAGCTTTTTCTCTAACCAGTGACAGAAACTACTATTTCCCACAGCTTCACTCCTCATTTTCCAAGCCAAAACAGATTCCAAGGGGCCAGCAAGAGACAGGAATTAACCACCCTAGCCCTGTTGTCTCCAGGGAACATTATTTTGCATGTTCTTAAAATAGAACAGAAAATAAGTAGTATCTGAAGACAAGGGGCATGGGAGAAGACTGTGTTTCTCACACACATATATGTGAACATAATGTTCGAGTTTTTTTTTTTTCTTCATTTTGCTGGCATTGCAGCACCATTATTATTCCAAAGCAACTTAGTTTATAAATAATAATGTACAGTCTGTCTTGATAGACTAATTAACGGAGGTGCAGCTATTCCTCAGTGGGCAAAAGGACACATTAAATAAGAGAACACTACATTCAGACCCGTGCTACACGCAGAACACTAAACAGTACACAGTTTTCTTTCCTCCACCCTGAGGGAGTGTTGGAGGAGGGTAGGGAGGGCGTATGAGAAGGAAGTGCACATCACTGCTGCTTCTGCCTCTGCCCAACACACAGCACTAACTGAGCTTGCTAAAAAGAATACCTTCAGTCAGGGACACATAAAGGCTTA